TACTACTACTTCTGCTGCTGTTACTACTACTACTACTACTACTACTACTACTACTTCTGCTGCTGTTACTACTACTACTACTACTACTACTTCTGCTGCTGCTGCTACTACTACTACTACTACTACTACTGCCACTAAGGGCTCATACAACCCACGAGGGAGAGCACGGACGCAGGGTGATAACACTCCAAGATCCTCAGAGCCAAGCCCTAAAAACCAGCCTAAGACGTTTCAGAGCTTTTAGGGTTTAGGGTTTAGGGTTTCGGGTTTAGGGTTTAGGGTCCTATAAACTCCGATGCTACCCCCCCTACTATTATGGGATCCTTACAGGAGGGGGTTCTAAGGGGGGTACATAGCCCAACAATCCCCAATTCTCCCCAGGGCTCCCTTCGGTTCCCTAAAGCTCCCTAAGGAAGCCTAGGACCCTCCCCCCTTGAATCACCCCGCCTTAAGGACCTTATAATACTAGGAATCTTAAGCACTCGGCGAACCCTGTTCTTGCCTGCTTCCGCTCCCGTGTGAATGCCTTGGCAGCCGTCAGCTTGCAAGATTTGGGGACGAGTATATGTAGGGCTGAATGGAGGTTAAGATCACTGAAGTTTAACAGGGTTGAACAAGGTGTGATAGTAGGGTGAGCGGTTGTAGGATTTTCAGGCTGGCTTACTGGGTTGGAGAACTGAGGCTTCAAAGTTGGGCTTCGGTGTTTAGGTGGCTTGGTCAGGTCAATCGCTATCAGCATCGCATCGGTTTCGTCGAGGCAGCCACCATCATGACCACAATCATCATCATCACCATCATCATCATCATCATCACCATCACCGTCATCAGCATCATCATCATCATCATGCTTATCATCATCGTCATCATGCTTACCATCATCATCACCATGGCCACCATCATCATCATGCTGGTCATCATCACCATCAGGCTCATCATCATCGTCACCGTGTCTGCCATCATCATCATCATCATCATGCATATCATCGTCATCATGCTTATCATCATCACCATCCTCATCATCCTCATCATCCTCATCATCATCATCATCATCATCACCAGCATCACCATAATCATCACCAACCATCTTCATGCTTATCATCATCATCATCATGCTAATCATCATCATCACCCTCATCATCATCACCATCAGTCATCATCATCATCACCATCATCATCATGCTTATCATCGTCAGCACCCAAAACAACAATGCATGTCATATGTATGTACGTACGTATGTTGTATGTCTGTCTGTCTGTATGTGTAACTAAACACAGACACCCGTACAATGGCGTGCGCCGTGAGCTCGGTTTCCCAGAGCCACGCTGTGAACAGATCACCAAGAACGCTGGTACTATAGGGCCCCTAAATGACTACTGATAGTCTTTTGGGGGCTCTAATTACTATAAATAGAGTATACATGAGATACTCCAAAACCCTATCCTAGTGATTAAGGCCCCGCATTAACCCGCACTGACATGAACCTCTTATAACCGACTTACTACGTCCCCTGGGCCTCCAAGAAGAGCCGTACGGTTGATGATATAAATCCTGCATGACCCATAATAAGGAATATACCATCATTCCCATAGTATAGGGTCTTTAAGGTAATGCAGGATTTATATCATCACCAGTAGGACCCCGAAGCTCTAAGGCTTCCTCCCCAAAGCCCTACAGCCACTGAGCCCCAATGCATTCGGACGAGGGGTTCATATAGGGGCCTTAATAGTTAGAATAGGGTTTAGGGTTTAGGGTTTAGGGTATATTATATTATAAATATAAAAGGAACCCCCAAATTATGTATTCAAGTTATAGATTAAGGCCCCCACCTTAGGCCTTACGTGCCGAATCAAGTTTCGAACTTGGGGTTCATGTAGGGCCCTAAAAGATGCGAATAGGGTGTTGGGGTTCCTTTTTTCAGTCATAGTATAATGGGCGTACTGTAGGGGCCTTAATAATTCGAAGAGGGTGTTGGGACTCCTTTATAGTATACTTATAAAAAAGGACCCCCCCCCCAAAAAAAAACAGAGTATTGTTACTTATTTAGGCCCCTATATCAGCAACATGAACCTAACCCTTATTAACCCAAAACCCCAAAACCCCAAAAATCCCAAACCCTAAACCCCAAAACCCAAAACACCAACACCCTAAAGTCCCAAACCCCAAAACCCCAAATCCCCTAAACCCTACTGACCAAGAGCCGCCGTGGCAATCCTGCAAATCTTCCTTCGCCTCTTGAGGCTAACAGCACTTGGAGGCCCAACGGACTCAGTAAGTAGGTTATAAGTAGAGTTATAAGTGCCCTAAATGGAGTTACCCCAATTATAACCCTACTTATAACCGAGTTACTAAGTTTCCTGGGCCTCTAAGCATCAACCCTCTGCAGAACCTTAGAAGTGATGTCGGGTTGAGAGTTTAGGGTTTTTAGGGTTTGTAGGGGTTTAGGGTTTAGGGCGTTTACGGTTTAGGGCTTAGGGCTTAGACACTGAAGTTCGAAAAAGCTCCTTAGAAAAAAACCAGCTCCCTGCATCGCTTGAAACAAGAGAAAAGCCGGGGCTGTCGGCATGTTCTTCGCCCTTTCGGCCGGCGTCGTCGGTCTCGAGGTCGCCTCAGCGAAACTGGTCTATCCTTTTTTCGTTCAGGGTTTTCAGGGTTTTGGGGCTTAGGGCTCTGGGTTCAAACTCAGGCTTGACAAATAATTAACCCTAAACCCTAAACTCAGCCCTA